GGTGAGCAGGTTGAGATTTTTGTTGGGTTTATCATAAACTAGTTTCTTATTATCAACCTAGAACATTAGGAAGACAATTTTTCAAGTAGATTTTCCCGTTTTAACTCTGAATTGGGCAATTTCAGGGTTTTGCGGATTTTTTGTCAAGTGGAGAAAACTATGACTTCAGGTAGGTGATTTGTTTTTCCTTCTCTACAATTGACTCAAGATGTAAAGAAAATACAAGGTTTTGTTTCCAGTGCAGAATCTCTTCACTTAATTCTCACTACAAGTCATAAATATGCTTTGCCTGCTGTCCTGGAGGGAGGTTACAGAGTAAAATTCTTCAAATTTCATATGCCTTTTCTTTAATGTCAGGTCTGGATGGTAGATTCCATTACAGGATACGAATATAACTGCTTGCTACAACCAAGTTCTTGGGAGAACTTGGGAAAGTTTTCACTTATCTCTTTTTTAATGTGGGTAAAAGCTTCACCTTTCAGTTATCGCCAATGACAGTGATAACATGTGATATCGCTATCATATATATTCATACCTCTACCCATACCAATATTGTATTATATAAATTTAAAGAAATTAACCATCACCTAAACATAAATTCTAAGAACATGATAGCTTTCTACCGAGGATAAGATGCACCATAGTTTAAGAATTGCTCTATTTTTGACAATTAAATTTTCCCATTGTTAATATTATAAACACTGTGGCAATTTAGCTGTGGATGTCGTTTTCACAATTTTCTCAATGCAATTAAATATATCTTATGACAACTTATTAAGAACAAAATCTCTCATAATAATAGCAGATAGCTTTTTATTGTAGTACTGGTTAAGATTTAATGTGCATGGTCTACTTACTTTCCAGAAAAATTTATGGAAGAGTTTCAACTTCTTGAGTTTTTCCTAGCACAGATCATTACTATCATAATTGATTAACCCACTTTGTTAATCTGATATGTAAAATGATCTTTCTCAGTGCATATTTTAATCCTCTTTATTCATAATTCAAAATTTAAAAGGTTTTCATAAACCACAAATCTCAAAAATTTATCACATTTCTCAAAAATGGAATTGTGGACAACTTTGCTTTCAAATTTATGTTCCTGAGAGATTCAACTAAAAATAGCCTATACTTTATAGAGTCACAGTAGGTGTTACTCTGCTGGACAGAGGTTAAGTTCTTTTTTTTCAGAAAACAAGTTAATTTCTGTGCACCTTCGAAGTATGTCTTTGAATTTATTCTAAAACCCATCAAACTGATGAATTTTAATCGATCGTCTGAATCTATTGTGATGACATTTGGAATCATTTAAGTTTTCTCTTGATATCTAAGTCCATTTTCATCAGCAGGATCCACCTAAACAAATATATTTTGAATTATATGACAGTGCTGTTTTTGTTATATGGACAGAGTTTAAGTTTTTTTCAGAGAACAGGAGATAATTTCTATGTGCCTTTGATGTATCTCATTGAATCTATTGAAAAACTCATCTAACCACTGAATTTTAATCAATCATCTGAATGTATTGTGGTAAAGATTGAAATCATATAAGTTTTCTGCTTACGCCTACATCCATTTTTATCAGTGAGATCCACTGAGACAATTATTGTTTGCAATTATATGACAATCTTGTTTTTGTTATAGCTCATAAATATCCTGTTCAATATCAATGTTGTATTTTTCTGAAGTTAATATTAACCTGTTTTTTCCTGGTTAATGTTAATCTGTTTTTTTTTTTTTCTCACTTTTTCTAGAATAAATGCAAAACTTATCATTTGGTTACCCAAGCCTGACAGATGGTGAAAATGAGGGAGGAGAACTGCACTGCTGTGACAGAGTTCATTCTCCTTGGGTTAACAGATGTCCCTGAGCTCAAGGTCTTTCTTTTCATGCTGTTCTTTATAATCTATGTAGTCACAGTATTGGGCAACCTGGGCATGATTGCTCTGATTCAGGCCAGCGTTAGACTTCACACTCCCATGTACTTTTTCCTCAGCCACCTTTCTTTTGTGGATTTCTGCTATTCCACAATCATTGTACCGAAGATGCTGGGTAATATTTTGAACAAAGATAAAGGTATCTCTTTCCTGGGATGCATGGTACAGTTTTATTTATTTTGTGCCTATGCAATCACTGAGGTCTTCCTGCTGGCTGTGATGGCCTATGACCGCTTTGTGGCCATCTGTAACCCACTGCTTTACTTGGTCACCATGTCCAAGGAACTCTGTGTGAAGCTGGTGTCTGGCTGCTACCTCTGTGGGACTGTGTGTTCTCTGATTCACTTGTGTTTAGCTCTTGAGATCACCTCTTACAGTTCAAATGTGATGAACCACTTCTTTTGCGATCTGCCCCCTCTCTTATCTCTTGCTTGCTCTGATGTCACTCTGAATGAACTGATGCTATACATTGTGGCCACGTTCAACGAGCTCATCACCATCGTGATCATCCTCACCTCCTACTTGTTTATTCTCATCACCATCCTGAGGATGCGCTCCGCGGAGGGGAGGCGCAAAGCCTTTTCCACCTGTGCCTCCCACCTCACAGCCATTCTTGTCTTCCATGGAACTATCCTTTTTACTTATTTCGGGCCCAGTTTGGGCAACAGTGAGGATACAGACAAGGTGGCCACAGTACTCTACACTGTGGTGATCCCCATGCTGAACCCCCTGATCTATAGTCTGAGGAATAAGGACGTGAAGGAGGCTCTCAGAAAAGTGTTGAACTCCAAAATATTTTCACAGGGAATATTTTCTAAGATCCAAAGTGGAGGCTGGTGCAGGGGCTAATGGACGGGCTGCAGTGGTTGATTGGAGAGAACAGCCAGGAGGTAGGTCTCAATGAGTGATTCGTTTTGATTCTGTTATCTTTGTGCCTCTGTAATTGACAAGGGTAGGATTGAGCATATTTTGAGTGTGAAGCCTACCACTTTGCTTTTATTCAAGTGAAATGTTTTAATTGGGTATGGGAATAGACTGTTCAGACTCAAAGGTTTAATTTCATAAAGTTTATAAGAATTTTGAAAATCACACTTTCAGAATCTATTATGGAAACTATGATCCTTTTTAAAATTGAATTTCTGTTATTTTACGAAGAGGAACAAATCTTTATCAAACACTTTATACACAGAATGAGATTTCCATGTGCGTATGCATCTTTTTTATCTTTTTGTTTTTCTTTTGTTATTTTATGTTGCGGTTATTTCTTGTTTCTGTTAATTTTATTATTTTGCTGTTATCGTTGTTTTACATCATTGCCAGTTTCTATGAGATTACCATCGTGACCATCCTCACCTCCTACTTGTTTATTCTCATCACTATCCTGAGGATGTGCTCTCCAGAGGGAGTGCATGAAGCCCTTTTCATCTGTGCCTTCCACCTCACAGCCATCATTGCCTCTCAGGGAACAATCCTTTCATTTATTGCTAGCCCCATTTAAATTTAGTAAAATGCATGACAGGCTCAGACATAGTTTCACATTCAAGAACCTTATAGTTCATGGGCGTTAGTAAATAGCATAAAATGGTTGGTGAAGAGATACAGTGCAAAAATCATTTGTAGATAGCAAAGGGATGGCTTTCGAACTGATGCTTTTTTTTTTATCTTGGCCACAAGAATGGATATTTATTTATTTATTTATTTATTTATTTATTTATTTATTTATTTATTTATTTATTTATTTATAATGCCTATAGCACCTGGTCTTCCTAGGTGTTCTCCCATTTAAGCACTAACCAGGACCGACATTGCTTAGCTTCTGATATTGGAAGGGATCAGGCGTGTTCAGAGTGTCATGGCTGTAGACAAGAATGGGCAATTTTTAAAGAGTGACAAAAGAGAAATACACAAATTTTATTCAAGAATAAAGGAAATGAATAATGTTCAAGAGATTAGTATGTATAAATAAGTCAATGATTCAACAAATATTTTGAGCTACTTTTTTCTACCATATTCTTACAATCTTGTAAGGTGTTAGGTGTTCCAAATAATGAAAAATTGCATAAGATGTCCCTACTAATCTAAATTACTTCAGAAAAAGTTCCAGTGTGAAAGATGAGAATATGGATAATTTGTTCAGAAATACTAGCTTGTTTCTCAGAATAATGAGAACAAACACCAAAGAAAATATATTTATAATCTGTTTTATGTTTCCTTTCTATCATCTACCAAACAATGTAAATATGTAACTAAACTAATTCATGTAATTATATGGCCGCTTGACCACGGGCATATCTGAATTCTCGTCAGGACTCTGCAGGCAATTTTCATAAAAGAACTGAGTGGATTTCTCATAAGCGTTGAGAGTTAATTGTTTTCTTTGGACTTAAATGTTGTTTTAAGTTAACTTTCCATTTCAATTATACTCCAAAAAAATGAAATCTAGATTATTATGTATATTAGAGAGGACTAATTTTCTTCTACTATTAGTAATATTTATTATAAATGCCCTCATTGATACAAATATCTAAGTTTTAAAATTCTCTAACATCATGTTTAATTTTTTCCTGTCATCAATTTTGCTTGAATTTCTTGTATATCATTCTATTTTGTACTCTATTTTTTGATGAAATTCCAAATTGTTCAAGAACTTATTGAGAGAAGAAATTCTAACCGTTTTTTGAGGGTAATATGAAAACTGGACAAAGATCTTATTGTTCTTAAAGTAATTTGGAACTGTTATATGATTTTAAATTTATAATGATAAATTACAATAAACTTTTTCAAAAATTTAGCTATGTAATCATAACCAGAAATATTTTATATATTTACAAATAAATTGTCTTGTTTTGCATAGTGTCACTAACTTGTTTACGTTACTTGGGACGATTTTGGAAAAAATATAAAAAATGTTATATTGATCTTGATTAGAATAAATGATAAATAATTCATTTTTAAAATATAAGTCTTTGTGTTTTTTCTCTATCTTGGTAAAAGATGATTACATTTTTGTGAAATCAGAGCTATGAACCTTAAGTTTTATTTGAGGAAATGAAAATACATATTGTTTTATTGCTCTGAACAATGTTTTAAAATTAGTGAGTGACAAAACGAAGACAGTAAATTGAGATTTCAACCACACAGGAACTGCACTTTTTATACCAATAGAGAATCCCAACATGATACACACAGAGGTGCAAAAAGTAAAGCAACAAGGGAAAATATTTAAATTGTACGACAGCATCAAATAGCCAAAATAACTATTTGGAAAATCAGAAGTAGAAAAAATAACTATTTGGAAATAACTTTTTCCAAATAACTATTTGGAAAATTAGAAGTAAAAGAAAAAATGAGATCAGGACAGAGGAAATATGTTTAGAGATAATGGCTAAGAATTAACAAAATTAACAAAAGACACCAAACCACAGGTCCGAGAATCTCAGAGAAAACAAAACAGAATGAATACACATGCAGCTGCACACACACACACAGATACACACAGATACACGCATGAACACACACACACGCCTCACAGGAAAAAGACAAGTAATAGAGAAAATATTGCTACAAGAACCATTATACATCAAAAAGTGATTTTGAGCCATGGCACACTTTATTTACTTATTCGTTTTGTTTCGTTTGTTATTAAATTTATTGCTTAATAAACATTGGTTAATAAAATTATATAGATATCAAGTGTACAATTCAATAATACATCATATGTATATTGCATTGTGTGTTCACCATACAAAGTCAAATCTCGTTATATCTGACCCCCTTTATCTTTATCTATCTCCTCTATCTCTCCCCTTTCCATCTGGTAACCGCTAAACTGTTGTCCATGTCCATGTCTGTTTGTCATGTTCATTTGTTGCTTTCAGTTTTATATCCCATGTATGGGTGAAATCAAATGGTTCTTAACTTTTTCTGTCTGACTTACTTCACTTAGCATGATAATCTCAAGATTCATCCATGTTGTTGCAAATGGCAGTATTTCATCTTTTCCTCTGGCTACGTAATATTCTATTGTATATATATACCACATCATCTTCATCCAATCATCTATCGAAGGCCACTAGGGTTGTTTCCATGTCTTGGCCACCATGAATAATGCTGCAATGAACGTAAGGGTGCATATATCTTAAGAGATAAATGTATTCAAATTCTTGAGATAGATACCCAAAAGAGGGATTGCCGGGTCATTTGGTAATTCTAATTTTGTTGATGGCTTTTTCTTACTGTGCAGAAACTTTTTAGTTTGATCTAGTCCCATTTATTTATTTTGGCTTTTATTTCCTTTGCCTTTGAGCACAAATTCACAAAATCCTCTCTTAAACCAGGGTTTGTGAATTTGGTACCTATGTTTTCTTCTATGCAATTTATTGTTTGGGTCAAAACAGCACTCTCGACTCTGAGTGAGTTTTCTTGTAGAGTGTCATCTGTGGCATTGCAGGATGTTAAACAGCATCTGTGGTCTCTACAATCTAGATGCCCTCATCATCTCCTTCTAGTTATATTCCACAAATTTATTGCCAAATGTCCCTTATAAATGAATATGGGCAGAGACAAACCCACCTTCACTCGAGAACAACTTATATAAAGAAAAAAGTGAATATTAGAGTAGATTTTTTGCCTGAAACCCTGAAATACAGAAAAGAATGAATGAAAAAATAAAAGTGTTAAAGAGGAAAAACAACTAAAAAAACTGTCGCTACAGTTTTATGGTATATATAGGAAAATATCTTCCAAAATAAATTAAAAATAAAGCTATTTTCAAACTAACAAAAACTGAAGTAATTTGTTACCAGTATACCTGTATTATCAAAAGTATTTAATATGTTTTCCAGGGAGAAGGAAAATCATACCAGACAGAAATTGAAGTTCACAAAGAAATAAAAAAACACAGGTAACTGTATATTAAATGTATATTTGAAATGTATTTTACCTTTTTTATTAATGTTTTTGAGATACCATCGTTTAATCAAATTATATAGATTTTGAGTGTACAGTAATATATTATATGTCTATTAAATTGAATATTAACCACCCAAAGTTATATTTCCTTCCATCATCTTACATTTGACCCCCTTTTTTCTTAGTTTTAATTGTTTTAAATGAAATCCTTGCAAGCTTGGAGAAAGTATAGTAATATTATCAAAGTGCTTAAGGAATAAAAACAATAGCAATAAAATATTTGTAATCTGTACAAAACTCTGTATAACATAGTAAAATTACAGCATATAGGATAAGAGAGTACTGACGAATTCACTGTTTCATGGCCTATACAAAACTTATGATTTATTAAATGTTTATCGTTAACACCTGAAAATCATTATAATTTTATAAAGGAGAAAAATAATGTCAATAGAGATTTAAAAAAAATCTCACTTTGAAGTATGACAGAAAATAGGATGAAGGGCAGGAAACAGATGGAACAAATAGAGTTAATGTGTTGAGGTAAGATATTTAATTCAACCACCTCAATAATTGCATTAACTATAAACAGTTTACACCGACAAATAAAAGATAGAGATTATCATATTGGACACAAAGGCAAAAGAAAATTCTGTGTTATCTACAGAAATTCCTTAATGATGAAGACACGTGAAGTTAAGTATAAAAGGAGAGAAAATATTACATGTGTGGATATATCAATATAAAACAAAGACTTTAGAAAACAAAATGTTACAAAGGATAAAGAGGCGATAGCGTAATGAAGACGGGATCAACTCATCATTATATTTAGCATTCTTAAACATGTTGATTGAACGACTATATATTGTTAATATATCTTCCTATGAAGATAAAAGGAGTTACTATTTGTGTAATACTTAGAACAGTTTCTAATACAA